TCACGTGTAGCGCAGCATGTAGTATGTGTCACGTGCGCGCTGCTGGCATCCTGTATTTAAGCTCTCGTTCCTCTGGAACTCTCTTCCTTCCTCACTTTGTTGTTCGCTCAATACAGCAGTTTCCGTTTGACTCCGTATTCATCACAGCAAGCAGTGGTTCACTCCACACGGTTACATATAAGGCTTTCTCTTCTTCTTATTCTTAGGGGTAGAAGTAGGATTTATAGTAGTAGATAGTAGTAAGGAGTTTAGTAGAGTAAGAGTAGTTAGATTTAGTTAAGTTGTACTCTTACGTTTAGCTATATTAAAGGATAATAAGTAGTAGAAAAATTAGTAGAAAAAGTAGTAGTATAGGTAGTTGTAACGAATACTCAAACTGGCTAACTAAACTTGGCTGGGTGTTCGCTGGTTGGTATGATAAGAAGAAGACTATCGGGTTGTTCACTTGGAAGTGAACTCGTTACTTGTATCAAAGATGTCAAACTAATATGACAAGATTGATAACTAAGTTGAGCACGAAGCTCCTATCTAATGGCAGACATGCCAGTCTTATATAGAACCTTCGTTCTCTATATTACTTGTATCAAAGATGTCAAACTAATATGACAAGATTGATAACTAAGTTGAGCACGAAGCTCCTATCTAATGGCAGACATGCCAGTCTTATATAGAACCTTCGTTCTCTATGGATCATATGGATCACCATGATCCATCTGATCCGGCTCACACTGGCTCATATGATCCTCCATGATCCAAGCGAGTCACGTGATGCTAACCAAAGGAAATCCCTGGATCGCTTAGCTAGCCTAAGCGTCCCTATTTTGCTATAAGAGCTTTCGATAGTGCTTAACCTGTCAGGTCGCTGCCTGGTCTTCACTTATTTACATGCCGAGCACGTGATTCGTGACAGTAGTAGATTTATCTATAAAAGTAGTATCTATTCTAAGGATATTACTATTATTTTAGAGATTAGTTATATATATATAAATACTCTTAATTTTATATATAATTTAAATATATTATAAGTAGTATTAATAATAGATTTCTATATACTATTATTAGCTATATACTATAGTACTACTAGTACCGGTATAGTATAACACTACTATTTATAGCCTGTTAAGTACGAAAATAGGAATTTCAGCCGAACAATATTTAATCCGAATTATCTAAATAAGACTCCGAGTTAAGCGAATAGAGTTTTTACGAGTTTTACGAATCCCAGGGTACGCTACCGAATAATCGAATTCACCCTCATTTGAGCCGAACAGGCTATTAGGTATTCATAAAGTTTATGACTGAAATTATTCCCTTGTTTATCCCAACTCATAGTATCCATCAAATTATATACCAAGATAAAGTACTTAATAATTCATCATGCCGAAAAAGGGGTTTGGTTACTACTTGTTTAATAACAGAATGAGTCCTGGACAATCACATGATTAACACCGTGATCATCTCGCAACAGAAACCAAAAACTTCCCCCCCCGGGGCCATCCAAAATTTCCAAGCCCCTTAAATCCCCATACAATCACCAAAAATCGCGACTTTAATTACCAAAAAATACAACTTCACCCAAATCCAAAGTACCGCCCAGATACGTGGTAATCAACCTCGCGGTAGCCTTCCAAACTTCCAAAAACGGCACCAAGAAAGATGGGGCACGCAAACAATACCCAAGAGATCCACAGATAACTGCAAAAATGTCCCTAAGAGAGCTGAAAAAGGCCATGATGATCATGCTCATACAGAACCAATACCATAAGTATACAATACCATAAAGAGTGTCGCTTCCAAACCAAGCTTCGCGAGTAGATGACGACGGTGTTCTCGGGGATGCGGGTTAGGAATCGATGACGCTTTCGTCAACCTTGAAATTCACGACCTCAGATTTGTTGTTCTTTGTTGGGTTGACAACTTCTGGTCCAATTAATGGGGAATTGTGGGTTGCATCTCGACATGAAGTGGTTGATTTCTTCGTAGGTACGCAGTCCCGGTGGGTTGGTCTCTTATGAGCTGCTTGTACTTTCTCTCCGTCAGCTTCCATCTGCTCTTCGTAGATTGGGTTCATTGATCTCTGCATTCCTGCTCTTGTACGGATGTGAGGTGCGTTGCAGCTAAAACACGTACCTTCTTGAATTGTCGATTTGGCAAAGCATCGAGAGTCACTCCCCTTCTGGGCTACTTCCCCAATTGAAGATTTGTCTGCTAACTTTTCCTCTATACCAGCAGTCACATCCCCAAAGGGAGGACTGGTTTTTGTGATACCGACGTCGAAATGGGTTGGAATCGCAGGAAGTTCTGCTGGAGAAGATGGAGTTCCACCAAGGCCAACCTTTTCTGGAAGAGAGGCCAATAATTCGGCAAGTCTATCCAAACGCTCTGGAGGAGAGAGCTTTACTTTCCATGGAGATGAAGGGGGCGCATTAACGTAAAGTTGTTCATCAAAGTCCAGTGATGGAAGAGGAATGTTGCTGGCTTTCTTTTGCTCGCGATGTCTTCGTTCCGCGAGATCGGCTATTACGAGAAGATCCACCAACTTTTCCATTTGAACGTCGTCCAGATATTGTGTTTGCATGTTTTCACAGTTTCTGCGGAGGGCTTGGAGCTCGTTGATGGACATTTTTGAGATGGTTGTGGACATCTTGATTGGATACTCGATGTCATTGATGAACTCCATTACTTTGATTAGGGTTATGATTGTGTTGGAATCAAGAAATGTCATGATTGCGGAAGTGTATGCTATGCAATGCACAGTCTATGAAGATTGTTGGAGATAGAAATTTGAAGAGACTAAGTGAAGGAAAGGTGTGTATTTATGGTTATCTTTGAATATTCTGTGGTAAAGCCACAAAGGTTTCATGAGATGTCGTGGCTTTCTTGTGCGAGAGACATTTATCGTAGCACAGCCATGGAATAAAGGCACGTCAATCTGTCTTGGAGTCTGTTACAAGTGGAACAATAAGGACTCTCCAAGACCACATGAATAGAAGCTTCTGCTTGTCTCCAGGGAAGCAAAACATAAACAGAAACCCCAAATTTTGGAACAAAGATGCGATCTTACCGGAGTTTTCTTCTAAAACTAAAAACGACGAGAACTTTCAACTTACTCAGTATATATTGAGCAACTGCCACAGTCTTTCTTCAAACCCAGACACAATTCAAACATCAAACTTGCATTCCAAGGAATTTCATATGATTCATGTTCCTATTGAATAAGCCTAAAACCCGTCCCTAGGGAAATGCGACCACCTCGACCAGCCTGCTCGTTCATCTCAGCGAACAAGTTGGCCCTATTCGGTACATCGCCCTTTATAGCCACTAAAAGCACCAAAATTCTGTCCCAAAAAGCCTGCCTGAAGGAGGGACTGGAACCAGCAACACCAGTTTCAGGTGAGGCCTACCGATTGCGCACTGCATGCGCTCAAAATTCCCAAAATATAGTTATGAAACCCGGCAAAGACGATACATTTGAAGCTCTTCCACTGAAAGGTTTCAACCTTGAACTACCTCACTGCTTCTCATTGGTACACATTCCTCTGCCGGACGCTTTCTAATAAGAATCGACAAGAATGGACTAGGGAGTCTAGTATGTCCGAAAGTCATAAAGGGTTTCTTATCAGGATTCTCAAGTTTAAACTCGTAATCAGTGATAAGGTGACCGTGAATCAATTTCAGGATGACGGAGACGTAGAATCGCGCTGGACTAAAGAGTATCACCAAGAAGAGTCAGTGAGGTCTGGTGGCTTTGAAAGTGGGGGTGGGGTGGATTGTTAAGCGAGGAAAAGGGGGTGACGCGAGCTGGTCCAGACCCTTTACATCGACTGGGTTGAATTGAGGCTCAGATGCTTAGAAACAGGGGTAGACAGACCAAGAATGACGAAGAGAACCCCAGAATGGGAAATCGTAGGCTGGATGCGTGAATCTATCTTCTGAATTTCCGTCCGCATTTACGTAACGGAAGCCATCGAATTCCGAGGCATTTGGCCAGATTTTCTCATCGCGCATGAGGGAGACTTGGGGAATCGCTAGCCAGTTTCCTGCTGGGGAGTGATAACCTTGGTTGTGAGAGGTGTATGGGGCCATAATCAAACGTGGGGCGCTCACTTTCATATTCAGGATTTATTAGCAAGTGTATCAGTATAGGGTTAGTTGGTAGGGAGACTAACAAATGATGCCAGGACTTAAACGAACGGTTTCTCGCATGAAGAAGTCGAGGAGCGGCATATCTTGGTTCACGCGGCCGAAGGAGGCGTCTTTGTATCTAAGAGCTTCTTCTCTGAGTCTGTCGTGGTAATCTTTGTGTTCACATAAACTATGAATCATGAATTGCGAGACCTAATCGACAATTAGTTCTATCATCAATAAGTAAATGAGTTTTTCCCACCATGGGGACTTGAAAAGCGCTCGCAAACAAAAGACCAATGGTCACTTTTGCGGTCTCGGCAATATCGTCAAGTCTCAACATTTCAGCAATCCATCGCGTTAGGTGTCCTCGCGCCCCCTGGAAAAGATTAGCTATCTTTTCTCATGAAGCTTTTGGGAACACGAACAGGGTTTCTCTTCGCCTCTTCACCTGAAATAGTTTCGTGAGCCATCAGATGAAGTAGCCTATATACCTTGGCTCTGGCGACACCCCATCCCATCAATACTGAAGCGATCATCCTATAATTCAGTTGGCTTCATCTCATTCTCTTCTAGAAGGAACTCCACCTACGGTAGTAGCCATGCTGGTATTAAATTCAAGAAAGGAAGGGCACGACCAATACTCCAGTAAAATCCATGACGAGTTTATAGACCTCAGGACGAGTGCCTATAAAGTAAACATTGGTATTAGCTCCAACATCCAATAAGATGACAGAAGACGGCTGGTCTTACCTTGCTCCTCGCCAAGAAAAGTTGTAATATTGACACGAGTGAAGATCCGTAGGAAAGCTGGCATGAGACGAATTTTTCGCCATTCTTCGTTACTATTTAGCCGAGTTCCTGTAAGAATGAACTTTAGTATCCAATCCTTTGACAGACCACGAGCTTCCACAATCACACTCACCATTTTCATAATCTAAAGCAATCGATTCGTTAATCCGGCATCGAAAGGAATTGGTCATGTCGGGAAGATTTGAACAAAGTTTGTTCTTCAGAACACCAATCATGACTCGGAAATTCTCGCTTTTGATCTTGTCTTTCTCTGGAACTAGGGAGAATGGTCCGAGGACCAAGCTTGTAAACCCGAGCTATTCCGTCAATAAACATAATCGCATGTATGAAAGGTGATTCGGGGATATCATACCTCATTCAGCACATGTTCCATAGAAAGCAAACTCTCGGGTTCTGATTCTAGTTGTTTAAGTTCTTCCTTATCTGTGACAAATATAATCCAACGATCAATCATGGGGATGGCAAAAGGCTTGCCATTGGACTGATGACTGGGTTAATGGACATCTCAAGTGGTGTGGTCGGTTGGGCTTGTTGAACTTACTGACTTATAAGCATTATGAAGGAGTGATTCCGCATCAACAATCATATGCAAAGCCGTCAACCACCTTCCCAATATTGTAGCATAAGCAGTGATAATGACGTTCGACTAGCCAGAATTAGTAAACAAAATTGTGTTGGCAAAGTGTTGATATACCGGCGCCTTCCACCAAAACCTCCATAGAAGGGCGCCAAGTTGGTAGACGAAGAGGAAGTAGAATACATAATACCAATGCCAAGTCCACTCAAATGACGTGGGAATAACACTTGAGCAAGCGAAAGTTGAGTTTGGGCGAAGCCCAGGAGACTTGAGTCCCCCAAGTTTTCTCTGCTCGCTGATTTTTAGGAGCTTCGAGTCGAAAGTGCTCATGTTTCAGTTTTCAATGTTGACAACGAACATGAAAGAGAAAGAGATGAGATGAGATTTGAGCTAGGATAAGAGTTCTTGTAGACGTTACACTAGAGCTCGGCCTCCCTTAAGTGATTGAGTCTTGCATTACATAACATTAACCGGAACATAGTGAAAGATATAGGAAGTGAATGGACCAAAAAGAATAACCGACACTCTCCACTTACATTCACATGGTTCTAGCCATTACTGATCCTCTATTCTTTTGATCAAAACAACTTTGAGCTCAAAATTCGGGGTATATTCTGTCCGGAGAAAGGGCCACCTGACCTAGCCAAGCAAGTATATCGCATACACTCATTCTCATATAGCGTACTTGTGAAAGATAAACCTACTTCAGGCAACACTCAAATGACCGCAAACTCTCCTATTGTATTGATGGAGAGTGAAGTGCAGTCAAAATGCCAAGTTATCAAACCGTTGTGGCGAATTTTCGTCATTCTGTCTATAATTGAGATTAGATCCCACCTAATGATCTACCACCCAAAGAGGTTTACTGATCTGAGCTGCAATCCATTAGTAACGGAAGTTACACTACTGGTATTTCACTCAAGGAAAAGACTGTTTCCCGAAATGGGCCACGGGGTAGTCCTTATAGTGATGGAGACTTAGAGAACCACAGAGAGATGATACTCAAATCCATTTGGTGATATCAGGAAAGTGAAGCCTTATTACCCCTGTCCCCGCTCCCCATCCCCACCACCCCCTTTCCCCTCCCCCTCCAAAAAACAATGTCCTAGCAATACCAAACAACCCCTAAAAAGATTAAAAGAAAAATCCAAAAAATCCTCACCCTCAAAGAAGGCGGCCTCGGACAATAAACCAGACGAACTGAGTTTTTTGCGGTTTGACTAGTCCCAGTAAAGCTCTCACCAATGTTTCCATTAAGCTACGCAGGCATGTACTGGACGACTTGGTGTAAGGCGCGTTACTTGAGGTTATGAATGCGGGTGGGGGTGAATGTGGTGAATGGGTTTTGGGGAAGGGAAAAGCTAGAAGTAAAATTGTGAATTGCCTGTTTATTTATGAGGCCAATTCGAAGGATCGAGCTAGCTATTAGTAGCGTTGCATATGAATAGAGTACAGTAGAGCAGTACCACCAGCTCTACTCTACTTAAGAGCTTTTTAAACTTGCTCTACTTGACTCGCAAAGCACTGTACTTGACTGAAGTAGTACGAAGAAACTCAGCTAAGCACTTCTTCTGAACGATGCTCAAAAGGTATAATTACTTCAACAATCCTAGATTGGCCAATGAACTATTATAACTCTTCCACTTTTCTACGCGTATTTCAAGCAACTAGTCTAGAACTTTATAAAGACGCAGTGCTTTATGGTCACTTCCAAGAAGTCTTTTTCGAGCCATGAAAAGGATCACCATAAAATTAGCAGACCAAGAATGCTCAACCATAACCCAAGAATGCCTCCATGGATCTGAGTACAAACAAAAGTTTTCCTTGAGCAACTAAGGATCTTGTGAGAGCCCAAGTCCAGGCATGTGGCATAACCGTTATATTTTTCGATATATCACTCTAAAATCATGTAGATAAACGAGCATTGAAAGCTAGACGTTTCTTAGTTAGAGAGGTACTACCCTCGCTTCTCTACAACTTGAAGAGGATAGAGAACGCGTTGATCGTTGCTTGTGGGACAAGGCATGACGAGTGGGAATCTCAAAGAGTCTAAGTTTAAAGTAAGAAAGCGTGCATTTGCGAGCGACTTGAGTTTCATAACTTCTCGTTAATGCAAATGCCCCTGAGTAATAATGAGATTAGTCAGGGAGCTTTTAAAGACGTAAATACACGAGGCGATAACCTGGTCGCTTACCAACAGTGAAAGCCATGGCGAGTTTCGTTCTAACTTCATATGTACCCAGGCGCTTGACTTCGAAGAATTGTCTAAATTACTATAGAAAAATTGAACTTCTACTAACTCAATTGTTCTAGTCTTCTAGTACTATTCAATTGGCTCTTTAGATATACGCGAAACTGTTGAACGAATTCTTCTGAAGTAACCACAGGTTGGAGGATTGCAAAGAGGACACGCTTATATAGTATGGAAGCGACTACTAAATTCCACTTCTCTTGTGCTTGACTCAGTGACTCTGGTGATATCCACAGAATCCGCATCCAACTTCTAACAGAAACGACTGAGAAAACTAGAGAATTCTCTACTTGTATTCAGCTGTGACTAACAAACCCGTAACAGACGAAGGAGTGAAGCGACAAGACCTGAATTCGGAAACCCAAACCTATAGGTGAACGAGTTACCAAGACAAAGGTTAATTACTAATGCCGTTCGGTACTACCGCCTAGCAACTCCATCGTCCACACCATTGGCAAGAAAAGACATGATATTTGAAACGTGAGAGAAAACCGAAGCTTTCCGGTTTATGCTTCGCCCGCCCGCTGTTGGTATCTATCGCCCTATGTGTACTGTACACCGAAAAGACTATCTTTTGCTCAGAATTATTGACCTTTGATGTGTTGTGGCGTGCTTCGCAATTGTTTTCCGTCTATCCCATTAACCTTTCCATATAACCATTTAAGCATGACTGTGCTGCCAGTCATTGTGATGGCAGCTCCAGTAAACAGAGCCACTCGTTGTGGGATATCAAGTTGCTCAAATAAAGGGTACGGATAGCTATCATGGCAATTAGTACCCGAGTATATTTGGGATGAAACTGAAAGGCTCAAACTCACAAGCCATTATGCTGAAAGCAATGTTCTACCCACGCCCAATATGCAACTGCAATACCCGAGCTCAAGCCCATCGCAGGAAGGGCTCTGATTGTCCAAGGAGGAGAAAGCAGTAGCAGGTCCACAGTCAGCAATATCGATGGCATGGCATGGAACCCAATATCTGCCAACGGGGCAATGTAAATCTCGGGTGGCACAACCAACGTTTTATCAATAGCACTAATTCCCCAATATAAAATGCTAATCAAAACTTCGAGGGGAGTGCTGCATAGCGACAAGGCGTTCTTGATGGTGAAAAGCGTAGGGGAACCGTTTATATCGGCTAGAAGACCGGATACGAAGGTTGCATGTGCAACTGTGAGGCCCAAAATGGTCAGGTACTGCCAGTGCCACCCATAAGATTCGTTTATCAGGCTTGGAAAATCATGAAGGTATTTGAAGGATAGGGAGAAGGAGATGATGCCGGCAATATGGACCAAAGCCGAGAAGCCGCGAGACGGAGAGGACAGCTTTTGGAGGGGATGACGGGCCATGTTGGAAATCTGGTATTGGTATCAAGAGAGCCTTTCCAGGACGAGACAAAGTGTAAAAAAATGAGAAATTTCTATTAGAACATTGAAAGTGAAATCTATCGTTTGGTAACAACTCTGAAATCCAGGGTTGGCAGCCGACGTCAGAGTTAATAGCGCCAAGCTTTTGTAGCTCCAAAGCTAACCTGCAGGACAGGGGTTAGTGCTGCCTTGCTCTCAGCCTTATCCCTTTGGCATTCCAAACAATTGGAAGCTTCCGCGACACCTCAACCATCATCTAACCTACCTCTTCATCATGGCAGGGAATGAACAGGATGCCAAGTCCAACAAAAGGACTCGTTCCGATGACGATGGTATGCTGAATCCCCTATATTTTCTATGGTAACTGCTAATTTTCTCAGACTCTTCCTCGGACGACGACATGGGCCCTCAGCTACCCTCTGCGGAAGCTCCCAAGAAAAAGAGACGCAAGCTCCCATATGAAAAGCTGTATATATCAGCGCTGCCTACCTCTGCCAAGTACTCGAAATCTCTCATGCATCGAGAACAATTGGCTTTCGTCACCATGACACCCTTGACCGATTTCCTAATAACAAGCTCTGTAGAGGGTGTGGTCAAGTTCTGGAAAAAGGGAGCGGAGAGCATTGAGTTTGTCAAAGAATTTAAGGCGCATAATGGGGAAATTAAGAGTGTGTCTGTGAGTGCGGACGGTAGGAGTTTTGCAACTGCTGGAGCAGACAAGAGCATCAAGATATTCGATATCATCACGTTCGATCTTCTTTCTATGCTCACGTTGGAGTTTACGCCAAAATGTGTGTGTTGGGTACATGGACGTGGAGCTTCCTTGCCATTACTTGCAGTATCAGATGAAGTGAACCATACTATCCAAATTTACGACGGGCGCGGAGAAAACCAAGAGCCTATACACACCATTAAAGGATTACACCGGAGCGTGGTTTCATTGATGACATTCAACGATGCCTACAACTGCGTGATAACTGTGGACGAGAATGGAATGGTGGAATATTGGAGACCTGGTGGCAGCTACGAGAAGCCGGATAATGTTTTTGAGTATAAAAGTTCCACCAATCTCTTCGAGTTCAAGAAGGCCAAAACAACACCAACCTCCCTAACCGTTTCACCGTCGGGTGCTCAGTTTGCGACAATTTCATTTCCTGACCGAAAGATCAGGATCTTTGATTTTCCTACTGGCAAACTCTATCGCACTTATGACGAGTCTTTACAAACCATAGAAGACATGCAACAAGCTGGCACGGCTCTTCAGAAACTCGAAGACGTTGAGTTCGGGCGACGTTTGGCGACCGAAAGAGAGATTGACAGCCCGGCTTTACGTAACAAAGCCAATGTCATCTTTGACGAGACGGGCCACTTCATCATTTACGGGTCAATGCTTGGAACCAAGGTTTTGAATACCTACACCAATAGGGTAGTGAAAGTTTACGGTAAAGACGAGAATTTCAGACCTCTTACTGTCGCATTGTACCAAGGACAGCCGCAAAAGAAGGGAATCACAACTGTGGCTATGGCGGCATCAAACAACCCTCTACTCCAGGAATCGGAGGTACGAGATCCCATATTGTTCGCGACTGGAGTTGGAAAGGTCAGATTCTATATGTTTACGAACGATGAAAACATATCGAAATCCGAGAGAGATGTTCACAACGAGAAACCGATCAATGCCAATTCCAAGAAAGCCGTAGAAAAGAAAACCGCAGAATCGGGCACGGCGGCTATCATTCATACTAGCTATGGTGACATACACATTCGGCTATTTCCCGATGCAGCTCCCAAAGCGGTCGAAAATTTCGTCACTCACTCAAAACGGGGCTACTATAACAATACCATATTCCATCGTGTTATCCGGAAGTTTATGATACAATGTGGAGACCCTATGGGCGATGGCACAGGAGGTGAAAGTATTTGGGGAAGGGAATTTGAAGACGAATTCAGCACACTTAAGCATGACAAACCATATACTGTTAGTATGGCTAACGCGGGCCCCAACACCAACGGAAGTCAATTTTTTATTACGACTGAGAAGACTGTAAGTTTCCCTACTTTCTGTCTAAGTCTTGACTAATTCTTTTGTAGCCTTGGCTAGATGATAAGCATACGATCTTCGGGAGAGCCATACAAGGGTTGGATGTGATACATAGGATCGAGAACGCTCGAGTTTACAAAGAGAAGCCGGAGGAAGACATAAAAATGCTCAATATAGAGATCATGTAAATCTCAAAATACTGTACCAACGGCTTTACATACTTCCAGTCCTGTCCAATCCCGTCTTTTTCACGTGGTCTCAATCTGAAGCGCCGACTTATCCCTGTAGCCTTGGCGCAACCTTTTAGCGTGCTGAAGTAGGTAGCCTTCAGCTTCTAGATAGTGGGGCAGGCTCCCCCACACCTTCTCAGCCTTCTCGACGTACAACCCTCAAGCAACCCAAAGACAAACCTTCACCTACTTACTTTTGGCAACTTCATTCAGCCTGTCTGGCGATCATGTAACTCGAGCTCATCTGAGTATTGACACACATATATTTCGAAGACGCAGCATGCCTTGATTCTTAGTTGGTGAATCCAACCTCAACTTCATGTTCTAATGATCTCATGCGGCGACCGAAGAGAACGGGTGCTCCCGAATCCAGACAGAGAAGCCAAAGGTTGTCGGTAAGCTTCTCCGTCTCACCAAAGCCCCTCCCAGCAAACTCTGCAATAGCGCCTCTACTACTTGTCGGGGCAGTACTAATATACTCGCAAGATCAGGTCACGTACAGAACGCAAAATGGCGTGCGACGAGAAATACCCTATTTATGACAACTGCCAAAGCATGGCGACATTTGCGATAATAGTATAAAGATGTATTGGCATGGGTGGTAAAAAAAAGATGGCTCAGAGCCTATCCGCTGGCAGTTTCAGAGCAGATGATATTGATGCCTGACATGATGGTTACCCGCCGCTGAGTATCAGGTCCCACTCCTTGAGCCTGGAAGCCTTCTGGACGGATCTTTTCAGTGCAGAGAACTTGAACATGATCTTGTCGGATCCAGTTGCCCTCCTTCGAAGCCACGCACACACCTACAATACACCCAAAAGGAAACTTATGACAGGACAGGTCGAGGACAGTCGGTGGTTGAGGAGGTAGATCGCAAGCTCAACATACCTTCATGGGCTCGTTGTCGGAAAGTCATACAACTCAGATTACAAGAAGGGAAGCAGTACAGATATCTACCACACATTTACAATATCCCACTGATTGCAATGCACACGACGTGAAGCAGAGAGTCAAAGTCTTTGGAAAGGATAGGACTCGTTGAGTTTGTCGGCATGACTCCAGTGCGTATGCTATTCGGAAAATGCATGGCATAATGATAAGATCCCCATGTCCGGACGGGGTCGATAGACAAAGCCTGCAAATTGGGAGGCCCTGAGGGTACTTGTAGTTAGGAGTTCTTGGGTTAAGAACAGCCTCTGTCTGGTCTTCATGTGATTTGGTTCGTCCTGGGCACGACTTTAAAAGGCCCTACCTGTTCGTCTAAAACATGCGGTAGTCCAGCGTCTCTCGGTATTTTCTGACTGACGCTTCCACATGGTTTCCTTGATCTGGGTGGGAGTGGAAGAAGAAGGGCGTGTAATGCCTGCTTACACGTCTGGAGGTCAGCATGTTCTGGAGTTTTGGATTGCAGGAGGTGAACCTCTATCTCTGGAACTTAACGGCTGGCCGGACCACCTGAGTTGTTACCTTTCTGAAGGGGATAAGCGTGATAGTAAGCAAAGACTGCAAACTTTGACTTTGCCCCGAAGCCAGCATCTACGACTCGGCGTAGGAGGTATTACAGTAGGTTTTCACAGACTGAAAGCTTACGAAAGGCTCTTGTTGGAACGCTTTCAGCAAGCGGTGGGCGGCATGGTCTCGTCTCGTCCGGGTGTCAAAAGCCCGTTATATAAAAGCCCACGCCACTCCCATAGGCAGTATGGAAACATTCGAACACGAAATTGGAGGCTACCGGTACTATGCAGAGAGGATCTGCAGACCTAGCCATTGCCTCCGACCAGATCCTGCTGGTACACTTGATCTGGAAATTTCCAAGGGCAACAATAAAACGCTCTCCTGGAGGAGTCTTACTCTGGCTCTCAACCACCGACCAATCCGAGCATAGAATCCGGCCTTTGAATCTCGACTCACGCGGACCGCAACTTTCAATTGCCATGGTGAATGCTTGCTTGTGGTTTGTCAAAATTATAGATGTCTGTCAGGAGACGTTGCGGAAGTTGATCACCGATGAGCATCAAGGTATATCCTTCTCAATTCTTCTATAAATGTATGCTAATGAATTCTACAGACTCATCAAATCACAAGCGATCTCAATTGCCATGTAGCCATCCAAGACTACTTTGAGACTCAGCATTTTCAACTTGGGCTCCTGGTTACCACAGCATCACCTTATTTGAGGTCCATATGCCTTCCCAACAGGCGGACTTTCCTCACACAATCTAAATTATACCTTTCCTGTTTGAGTTGCGACCTGCAATTCTTTCAAGAAAAATCACGAGATACGAATTCCTCTCAACATGAGGTTACTTGGCTTAGGAACAATCACGAAAGTAATGAACAATCTCCATTTTGTCACCTTGTTCTACGCAATTACAGCACCACCTTTCCCATGTGACGAGCGACGTGAGAACAAGCAGATCTGACTTTGACGACTTGGGAGTTTTTTTTACCAGGTTTTCTTACCTTTCACGCATGACTGTTCCTTTTCCGATATTCTTTTCTTCGTTAGGGCACAACTCCCAAATCTTCAGCAGGTAGACTGGTGGGCTATCCTGCACTGACAATGCATTCCACTTAGTCGGGAGTATGGAATGGCCATTTCTTCTTCAGAGCTGATGCCCTCGACGGTGCGAGCTCGTCCGTTGGCTTTGGAAATGGCAATTCTTTATGCTTCTCATAGTCTTTAGGGGCGTGGGGAGGATTTTACATTGACAATTGGGGGCTACGGATTCTTCGTAGTAAGGGATCAGATTCATCTTATGGGGGTTGCAGACCGTGTTTGGTGGTCCCTGATTCAGTTATTATGATTCGGCTTTTGCCCCCTACTTGTTCTCCTTTTGCGGGTTTGGTGATTCTTGTGATTCCTGCGTGATGTGTTCTATTTGATCTTGCTAGGTAAATACTGTCCTGCTGGAAATTCGTCGACCCCAGTGCCTTACCAGGGTACAATTTCAAGACACCTTCCCCTCAGCGCTCGGCAATTGGAACTATATTCGATGGAAATTCCATATTTCATTCCATCTGGAATTATCCCTGCTGGCCCCCTTTAAAATAGAAAGGTATATTCCATCCTACTAATAGTCTCTCGACTTCCATGGAATTATATAATTCCAGATCCATTTGTAGAACAATTAGAGAGCGGGATTTAAGAGGCGTAAAGGGTTAATTTTGGTAATTACATGTAGTGAGTAATGAGATGAGCGTTGATGTCGCTTATATACCATACTATTTAGTTACATTTGATTCATCGAAGTATTACTCGTTAGGCAGTTCCCTACTAGATAATAGAGAGACTCTCTACGAGTATCACTTCTAAAAGCTTCCTATTAGTTAATTGGACCGAACAGGGGTTTTTTCCGGGCTATATCATTTTATTCCATAGAAAATACATAGAACAGAGGGTATAGAATAAATCTTTTCAGACCTCCCCCCTCCCCCCCCCTTGAGATGGAATGGAATGGACATCCAAATGTCGAGCGCTGCTCGCCGTCTGGTATCCAGACCTTTCTCTGGATAGTCAGATCTCGAATGAATTTGGTTGTTCGACTTTTGTAGCTTACACTGACCGAACAATTCTACGAGTCTGGCTCAAAGATCGGAATCACACAGATAGTGGCGTATTCCTTCCCCAAATCAGTTTCGAGTTCCTGCATACCCTGGATGTAAGAAGTGTGTGCGACGTTGTGAGGCAGGGATGCAACATCGGATATTTACGGTGTCACTGTATCCAATGACGATATAGAGACGAGGAGGAATTAGGGGGCTGTTTGTTGGTCGGTGTTTCGGGGGTTTGTGGGTGTTGTATATAGAATGGATTGGGCCCTCTCTGCCTGTCATAAATACTGAAGTAGTAGCGTGAGCAAGTTGAGTGGGTTCATTAGCTCCCGTCGGTTTGAGGGGTGAGTGCTGACTTTTGTGTAGGTTTTGTGGTTTTGTGGCTGGTTCCACTGCTTGTACAGTACAGTTATGTCCTCGATGGCGCTGCAGGGGGTTGTTACTACGTATACTATCTCCAACGCCGACCCTGCTGTTGTTGGGTCGGGTTGTTGGGTCGGGAGTTGTGTCGACGCCTTTGCCTCTGGAAACTTTTCCTGTTTATGCGAATGGGGGAGGGCGTGGAGAGCTCCGTGGCCTGCGAAGAGATATGACAAAAGTTGGCCGTATAATAACTACCACAACTATTCATGAAACCTTGACTGCGACAGGAATGTCCAACTTAGCTCTGTCCTCGATGCAACACCAAGGTCCCTCGAAAACATTAGAAGCCGCTGAGCGTCCGACAAGTTTGCCCTCAAGTTCCTCCTCATCTATATCAAGAGAAACCAAAGTCGGATTTGGAGTCGGTGTTTCTTTGGGCTTCTTGATACTTGTGAGCATTATCATCTTGGCCTTTCGTATTGGGAGGAAGACTGGTATGGGTTCCGCGGCTGCAAAGAAGGCGCGGAGTTTTCAAGATCTATCGAGACTAAGTGGTGCTTGGTTTCGCAAATCGGGATTTGGAAAAGCTGAATCATGTGCTGAATCTCAGCAGATTTTCGAGATTGGAAGTGGGAAGAGTGAGGTCAAGGTGGGAGAGTTGGAGGCAAATACCAAAGTCGTGGAATTGGAGGGTGATGATGTGGGCGGAGATGAGGCTGTACAGTCTGAGAAGAGCTTTGTGTGTTCGATTAATGGCCATGTTGCGACTCGCTTAGCATTCGTTGATTTGATGATTACTGCAGGGGGTCACCAGCTGGGCAAAATAGGCGGGACTTTTTTTGGTGGTGCACAAGCCAACAGAATCCCAGCTTATTTTGTCCACCGGGAGGGGGTTAACGTTTGTGGTTAGCCAAAGTACAAATGTTCTTTCTCACACTGTTGTTGTCAAAGGTTCTCTATCGCGGAATCTTGTACGCACGAAAGTCACGACAACCAATTGAGAAATCTCCAATACCGAAGGCTTCTCACAGTTTCAACAGCTTGCGATAACAACCATTAAGCCAAAATCATCGGCAAAAGTATTGGCTACGGTATTTTCGCAACGGCGACGGTCCCAACTTTTTACGCTTGAGGTCTTATATTATTGGTTTTTAGTTATGAGTAGAGAACGGGTCGGAAGACACCTTCGGCAGCAAAGATCTCAAGCTTCAAAAAGCTCTCTCCAAGTCTCTTGTAGCGCCTGCGTTCGGAATCCCTCGGGAATTCGAGAGGTGCAGTTAGATGCTGACTCTTAGGAAATTGTAAGATCAGAAGTGGAAATTGTGAGGTGAGAGAGTTAGCGGCGGAGTTGTAAGGAAACGGGCACTTAAGAGTGAGAAGTGATGGATTTGCAGCCGAGTCACAAAGAGGGTCCATCTACCAGTTTTACTCGCTTGCTGATGTTTGTGAATCACTCGTGGGTGAATTCTAATCACATAAGACTCTATCAACGACTTAATCACCTTCGGCTCACCTGTACCACGACAAACATGCGGGCTTTTCATCTAAGAGCCTATTCTCTTCTCAGTCCTCTTATTACAGCTTACTTTACCTTGAAGTTTCAAGCCATGGCAAAACTTCTGACCACGAATTTTGATGACCTCACCCCTGGTGGGACCTTTCAACTCAGTTGGGTTGAAGGAGGCGGGATAGTGCTATCCCTTCATGCCTTGGAAGACGGGATAACGTCCGACGACTACCAAATCTTTATCTGTAGGTTTTCTGTGCCCTCGAATTTTTGAAACACATCTAACGAGTTGTGCGAAAAGGGGAGACCTACAACGATACCGATCCCGGAATCACATATTCGAGAGGATGGAACGTACCACAAAACCTTCGTCTAAATTCTCAGTGTCAGTTCAACCTGAAGCAGAAGAGTACAGATAAGGTCTTTACGTATCCTGCGCAGAATAACTTTGTCATAACAAAGGATTCGACTTCTCTTAAAAGCCCAGCGCCCACACTGTTGAAGACCTGCAGCCCTTCTACTTCGACTGATAATTGTCTACCGCCCATCACTTCTGAACAACCCGGTTCGGTAATCGCTGCGACGACTAAACCAGCTTCAACGTCGCCAGCCACTTCTTCTTTATCTTCAAGCTCGATATTGTTACCACCTTCGAACAGCGTAAGCGCAGCCCCAGTCGTAGCCTCAATAACTCCGGTACAAGGACCAAGTCCCATAATTGCAATCGGAGTAGGTGTTGGAATCGGAGTCGTCGCCCTGCTAGGCCTCGGTTTCCTCCTCCTTAGATACCGAAAGAACAAAGTCAAACCCTTCCGCGCTGACACTCCTCCACCTCTTGTTATCACAAGGCCCCCAAACAGTCCTCTACCTACATATCAGGATCCAAAGCTATTTCCAAACAACCAAGGAGCGCCAAGCTATATGGATACCAGTAGCACCGATAAACCGGCTGCGTTGTCTATATACGGTAGTCTGGAGTTAAACAACATTACGGGAGGCGGCACCATAAAGGGCTCTGTCAAACGACCTTCTCAGATGATGGGACATGAGTTGACACCGGTTTATGGGAGGGGTAGGAATTCTAGGGAAGCGGGATATGGAGGGAGCGAATCGGAGATGAGTGCTTATGAGAGTATATATTCTCAACCAGAAGACGAGAACTTTGATGCGAGACGAGACACGAGTTTTGGGGGGTTTATTTAATGGATGGGGGGTGGTAATACATAGACTTGGAGACGGAGTTATGTTGTTCTGTGCGGCACGTTTCTTTTTTTGGAGACCGTTCTTTGAAGATTACTATTATCTTGGGGCGTCATGAGATTTGTGTTTTTTATTCATTTCAGAAATTAGCTAGACTAAACATTTTGGTTTTAATATTACTAGTTACCCAGTCTGCCCATTTACAACCACGTGGTGCACGTCAACAAAAGTTGTGTTCCGTGACTGGTTACAAGTGCTACTTACTGTAAGAGGCTTGGTCGTTACTCTATACACACTTCTCTTAGAATAGTGATATTATTTCGAAAGCCTTATAAAACTAAAATATTTATACAAAGAGTTTAGAATAACTGTTAACGCTTGCCTTTTATTATTAGCCTAGGTATACTAAGACAATCGTTTTGGTTGTAGTTTTGTTATAGTGTGTACAGAGTAATGACCAGGTATCTTACCTTCATAGGCGTATCTCGCGAAATCCGTGTCACAACAACGGTCAGTCTGCCTTGCCCCAATGTCCTCGGAATAATCAGGAGATACATATGCAGGTGGGTGGGCAACTGCATATCACGTGACGATCAACTCCCTTTCTTCAAGGACTAGACTTCGCTGCGCCTTACGGCTATATTCGTACCAAGTTTTGAAGTCTGAAACCTTCCCTTTTATATTCTCACTACTACCGCACTGCATGCAAATTTCTAAGTACACTTTGGACAAATGTTCAGCTCACTTACTCGAAACAAGATGTATTTACCAAATCATGAAGAAGAAAGGTTCGTGGCATCTTTGAGGAAACCACAGAAACTTGAGGCTACCCTAGAAACTTTTAGTCCGCACATTCTCCTGTAGAAGTATTCGTTCCATAGGGAAGAATGCAAAGAGATCCACACTGATTTCGATTTGGAAGAGGGGTGGCGAATTAACTGCATGCACTTGCCCTTACATGTTGTAAGTTAATAGGTTCGTGCGACCAAAAACGAGGAATCCAACAATCAGTACTCAAAATTGTTAATTTGACATGCATGGTGTGCGTGCCATACTCTCGTGTCGGATGCGGCTTCCCTAATCCGTGTGACTAGAGGTAACATAGGAGGGGAGGTGGATGGCATGGTATGTTGGTGTGAGTGCTGTCTGTATATGATATCTGCATTCCCCACTCTGGTTTTTAATTTCAGCCCTGAGCCTTCTTGCAGCTCTTTCCAATGTCTTTTTGATAGGGGTTCTTTGACTTGGAGATGTAGTGAATAATCGAGACAACTCCAGAGCTAAACATTTGCACCTGAGCCGACGAGACAAAAGGACAGACTTAAACCTACAATCCTCTATCATCACAACACAACATAAGATACACCCACAATGGTGAAGCTTACGAATAACGATTGGGCCGATCTCACGCCTGGCAAGCCATTTGTTCTTCAGTGGGCGTATGAAATAGAGCAGAAACCAAACGACTACACATATCAACAAAATGTAACAATTGACCTACATTTAGAACCTCCGATACTAGCTGGTTACTACCACGACATATGGATCGCTGGTACGTCCTAACCACCCCCCAATTCGCCCTCCATGTCCTGATATAAATTCCTCTGACAATGATAACAGAGACCTCTGGAGCGGACACCAATTCAATCTTTGGACAAAGCTACAATTGGGATGTCCCAAGTAACCTACCCTATGGCCAAATCTGCCACTTCATCATCTCAGAGGCGGGATTCCCAGCATCAACGACCGACATAAAGATATCCCAATTACCCACCACCCGATCGAAGTCCCCTAAAACAATTCAATACTGCTATGATGAGGCAGCTCATAATTGCATCGACCCGCCAACCTCGACGGAAACACCACCTGCGAGTTTATTTTCAAGTGCAGCAAATTCAGGTTCAAACTCTATCGCCGATGTCTCACCCACTACACTAGCAACTCAGACAATTCCTAACAGCATACCCCCTCCCACCTCAATACCTACCTCCCTATCAACCTCTCAAGACCCGGATTTACATACCCTCTCCTCCGGCGCGAAAGCAGGAATTGCAATCGGCGCAGTATTTGGTATAATCGCCTTTGCCATACTAGGTTTCTTCCTCTACAAATACGGCCAGAGAAGAGCATTGGAAAAAGATAATACGACGAAGTACTTCAAAGGATGGACGGCTTTTGGAAAGAGCAGCGGGAAGGGCGGTGCGAATGAGGAGTTTGTGGGTGGTAGTGGGAAGGCGGAGATGAGTGCTGAGTCGGCGGTTAAGGATGGTGGGAGGAATGAATTGGATGGTACGCCTGCGCCTGCTTATGTTGAGCGGTTTCCTTCTGTTGCTGGTGCTGGGGAGCATGGGGGTGGGAATGGAGGTTATGTTGATTCTGGGAAGGATGGGTTTAGGGCTGAGTTGGTTGGAAGTATGGTTTGGGGTGATGATATTGAGGCTGCTCCTGTGGCGACTAATGGTGGGAAGATTGAGGGTGTTGGTGGTGAGAATGAAGCTCAAAATGTCGCTGAGAGCGATAAAGCAGGTAATGGAGTTAGTAAGGAGCCGAACGCGGCTACAATTGATACCAGCGAGGAAACTTCAAGCGATCATTGAATGTCATCGATGCTTACGTTTGTAGATAGCACCAACCTTACATGTGCAAAAGATTCTTAGAAATGAATCATATGATGATACCAAGAATGGGGCGTTCCTTTGTAAACTTGATTTCTAAAACTTTGTGTAGATGTTCTCCTATACGTTTATTTGAGGACATGCTTGTGAACCCCTGTTCTAATAGTCAGAAGTAAGCCTTCTGGGAACTCGGTGTCAGGTATTGTCTGACACCGTCCTAATTAGGTATTCAAGGACCAAGAAGTGGGCTTCCCCACTTTCGAGTCTTATACTTTAACATAGCGAAAACAGAGGGTGTTTTAGAAGAAAACATTATACTTTAAGAAACTAACAATAGTCTATAATTAGCTTTTAAGAGAATTTAAGCGTAACTTAAGCTTTCTATAAGCTATCTGTTTATATTATAGGGCCTTTTCCCCTCCCTTTATCTCTATAAACTATTTATAAGTACTTAGTCATTTTTATTTATCCCTCTCCCTCCCTACCTATAAGTACTTAACCGTTTCTACCTATCTCTCCCTCCCCCGCTTCTTGTGAGGGTACAGACGTGGAGGAAGCGATGTGGCCCGTGCCCTTGGAACTGTAAATAGCCTCAGATCTTACGATCACTTCCACTCTTTGTAGACAAATTAGTTCTTACGCATACAGTTGACCTTGTCGCTATCGCACCCTTACACTTCTTTCTCCTACCCCTACCTATAAATAAGTAAACGCGTAAATAAGTAAATAAAGAACTATATCTTTAGTAGGATTTAAGGTTTAACGCCTACCATTAAGAGTAGTAAATAGTAGCTCCTATAAAGGTTTTATATCCTAGGCTATATTACGCGAGAGGAGTAGGTATTTACTAATACGGTTCCTAGAGAGGGTTATTTAAGAACATACTTATAAACCCCTATTCTAATAGTCAGAAGTACGAGATATAGTTATTACTCTATATACCATATAAAATGTCATTATACTAAACTTCTATAATAACTAAACTAACTACCTTAGCATACCTCGGCTAGTTTTTAAGCTTCTCGTTTACAACTATTCCAACCCCTCTAGCTATATTACATACTCATACGTCGCTTTCAAGAGAAAGTTATTCCAAGAGAGGTATATAGAATATCACCTATTCTTTCTACATAGTGAACCTACTTATACACAAGAACTCCTCAGGCGTGTGGATCCATTCTTATAGGTACAAATAGGCTGAGATAGTCGATTCGGTTGAGAAGCGTAACTGGATGTTATTTGTTTCTGTAGATGTATGACGTACTACTGTAGCTGGCTATAATACGATGGGATGGGATAAGGAGATATAGGGAGGTAAAGGAGATCTTATATATTCTATCAATTCTCCATCCCTCCCCCTCCTCCCCTCCAAACCCCCTCAACAACACCCTCCCCCACAGTCAGCGTATCAACACGCCTCACACACACACCCAAATCCCATCAAGCACCTCCCCAACCCCCCTACATCCCCCAAATCCCATACCATGACTCCGGTCCTCACAACATCTTCCAGACTACCACCTATTTTAGCGGGGG